GTGCTCATGGGACAGTTTGGGAGAACAGCCCAAATCAAAGCAGGAGACAAGACTTTCCACTGTACCTGACCCTACCAGTATAAGTGCAAATGAGTCTCGAGAGATGCAAGCCGAGGTCAAATGTTTTGGGTTAAGATTGCTTTCTGAAGTACGAAGCATAGTTAATGTTTCTGTGACACAGGTGTTCCTTTCCCTTTCACTATATGGACAAAAAACACTAAGACACATTTTTCAAAATATCTTTTGTGTTATACAGGTTTGGAATGAAATGAGGGTGAGTAAATGATGACAGATGGCTTTGTGTTCATTCAGGCCTCCAGTTTCTCCTGTTACAGAGGATGTGTTTGTATAGGTTTGAAATGAAGCCAAACAGATCAAATGCCTCCCGACACAATCACAAGTTTGTTTATATATATCATTAAATCAACATTATGTTTGAGAGCAAACAGAAGTCAAAAGGTTGAGACATGAGGGAAAAAACTTGACTAATTCATACCAAACAGTCAAATCTATGCCAAAAAATACAAATTTAGATTTTATTGTCCGTAGGCCTATTATATACCGAGCTGTTGTGTTTTACGTTATCTTATAACACCAGTTTAGAATGTTTAGAAAAATTCCTATTTATGACTGATACCTTCCCAAATAAATAAATAAAGACCTTAACACATACATCATGATAGTTTGATTTGGAATTTGGTATAAACATAAAAGAATGATTGTTAAAAAAATGAAAGTGGCAGCCTAGCTAGCAAGAAGGCAGTATTTAGTAAGAACGCAGGGTTTTTCCGACCTAATATTTATGAAATTACCCTTTAAAAAAAAAAAAAAAAATTTACCTGTGTTAATTTTTAAGGACTTTTCTATAACTGGAGATGAAAAATTTTACTGATTTAATATTCAAATACAGTGGCGAAACGCAATCCAAAAAACTCCCTTAGTGACTGAATCACAATTTCAATTTAAAATCATGAAATTGTTATTGACTGACCTTGAGGTGTAATACGATACAACACATGCAGTGATGATATACATTATATTATCTCTATCATATTTCCTTTGTGAATTACTTTGCAAGTTACATTAAAATATAATGAATTTTTAACGCTAGAGCCAAAAGTGTAATAACGTTCTAGAAATTTTGATTTAAACAGCGCATACATTTATATATATGATTTTAAACCAAACACACTGTCACTTCTGCTTTACTACGTCAGAATTTAAAGATGTTATGCCTGTATTATAAATGTACATAATTCGCTGATTCATTTTTTAAGTAAATGAAAGCCTTAATTTTTTTTTCTATTTAGCAAATATTCTCAGCTCAGTTTGAAGCTCTTTTTGATATCTTTTCTTTTCTTTTTTTTTTTAATAATTGGTTGATAATAATTTTTGAAATAGTTTCCTCTGCTCCATCTCAGACGGTCTCAGGCTTTAGTTTTCGCTCGTAAAATTTCATCCAATAAATCACTTAGTGATTTAAAAAAGACTGTCTGAGAATACTTTTACCGGCCTGATAACCAGCTGTACTCATTAAAACTAATCTTGGCCTTGTTTTAAATCTAAACAAAATTAGATCCCAGTTGGTAAAACTTACCTTTTCTGTTGACAGAAGTTGCTGATGTTAGTGATGGGCCAGTTCAGCAAGCATCGTCATGTCTTTAGCTTTAGATTTTATGAAGAGCACATTTTGCCACAGAGCAACAAAACCAAGATTACAGACAAACTGACAAGATCTGTAAAGCTTTGGCGTGTATCGAAGACATGAGCTGCTAAAATGTGTAAGGCTGTGTAAGTCACGTCACAGTCTGACTTCCCACCTTAACAAAGGCACATCATTTGCAAAGGCATCACTCACACACGCACACACACCACAGTGGTGCAGAGCAAGCTGATGATAGAGCTTCCTGTCGTTGAGGTGTTTGAGCTGATATTTAACATTTTTCAGCAGGTGCACACTGCTCTGAGCAGCTGGTGTCATTGGAGTGAAGGATTCTGGGTCAGGACTCCACTTGTCACCTACTTTTGTGGTGCCATGATGTCAAAGAGCGGAAACTTTAACGGCATTCATGGGTTTTTGGCTTGTATTTGTACTAAAAAGAGCCACGAAACTTTACATTTAAATGTTCAAGCATAAAAGTGTTACACACATTGTTATTCCATGAGGTATTTGTGAACATTTAGGCCTCTAGTTTACATTAAACCGAATGTTAATGCTCTGTTAGAAAGTAGGCCTCTCTAGCAGAACTGTTTAACTAATACATACGTGTGGATATGCATGTGCACACCAGAAAATAAAACTAATATGCAACAAATATTTTTTGAGGTAAATTTGACATTTTTTTAGCTACTTGGATATGACGCTTATCTGTTTCATAAACCCTTTCTGTCTCTCTCTGTTTCTCATTCTCTCTGAGCAGACCGCACACTTTTGTTGTGGCATCAGTCTGCAAATAGTGCATGCTCTTGCAGGAAGTCACAGCCCAAACATTCAAAGGAAATTAGGTACATTCTTAAGTTTTCTACTGCAGGAATACTCATCTTAATTTAGACACTTATGCCTAAGCCTGCTGTGGCATTTGTATTTATTTTGATTTGTGTCGTCCTACGTGATTGAAACTTCTGACCGGGCTTTTCATGTGGTGAGTCCGGTGATCACAGCAGAAATGGGTGTTTCATTGTGGTTTGGTGGTGGGGGAAGGGGGTTAAATGGTGAAAACAAATAATTATATTATTTAAATCAGATCCCCTCGCATGATGGACCACATCAGGGTGATTTTTGCTAAAGTCGTATCCTGGCTGGATTTCTAGTTTTGTTTGTAGCTGTAAGTTTGAGGGAGCGCCTGAAACAATGGCTTGATTTTTTCCATTCCTTGGGGGTCTTGTGGTTGAGAGGAGGGGGGTTTGAGGGAGAGGGGATGTTGAGTGGGGCAGATCATCTTAACAGACAGTTATAAATTCACAGTTACATCTCTTGTGAGAGCAAATGTTAATTTAATGCTTTGAGATTGTGAATCCATGCCAAAAAAATATATAATTTAAACTGGGGTATTGGGTGCTAGTAGAGCTTTGGAAAATTTAACAGATTAAATATATTTAATGTGTTTTAACTGCAACAACAAATATGCATATAGTTTTGTGATAGATGTGTCGGAACAACGTTAATCAATTTATTAATTTTAATATTGGGTTGAAAAATATGTTAATGTTATATGTTAACAAAATATATTTAAAATAAGCAAATATTTTTTTAGATGATATTTCAATAATTTTTCAGTTGGCTTTATGTTTTAGAAAAAGGGTTCGTTACAAAGGGATCATTCTTAAAACTAGTGAAAGCCGTTTATATAGCAGGATTGTTGAGCTTTATATCAACCAAATTATTTCCAGCAAAATAGCGTAGATGATTTTTCATCCATTTTTTGAGATTTCATGACATTTTAAATTCATGTCAAATAAATTGATGAATAATTTAATGTTCAGTGAAAACACTGAATGAACAAAACATCTTTTTCCTTTATCACATTTGCACTCGAGTTCAAAGTAGGTTATCATGATGGTTTCATTTAAGCTCTACAAAGCAGAATGACACTTTCATGGCACAGTGTTTGTTTTCTTTTCTAGGCCTCGAGGGAATCTGTATCTGGAACACAACTAAACACCTTTTGTGTCTTCTCAGGTGACCTAAATAGTTCATGTTTCTGTTTGAAGAAGGAATCTAAAGCAGCCCTCGTGAACTGTTCATTGAAGGTACTTGCCCAAATGCCACTGGCTTTACGAGATGTAAACTACAAAAGCTTGTAATATCAGTGTTGAGAACAGCTTTAGGAAAGATGGCTTTCCTTGTCAATGTCTCTCACTCTTTCTCTCTCCCTCCATATATTTATCTAGCATGAGATCATTTCTTGGCATGTGTCACATGCTCCTTTTGTCAGTCAGTGCCGTCACTGCAGTTACAATCAATAAAGCAATTGGTCCATTGTTTGACTCATCTACTGATAAAGGCAGCCTATTCTGATAAATATGAACTATTTTTCATTCGTGTGATAACACTGCATAAAAAAACCCTCTGGGTTTATTCATGTCAGGATGTGCAAGACGGAAGAATCTGAGCAAAGCGAGATAAGAGCTGCTCAAAACAGTTTGGATAATTACACAAATACATAAATCAACACAATACTGTGAAGAAATTTTGATTGACAGGAAAATAATACTAATACTTGTATTTACAAATATAAAAATGTAAAATTTAATATAACATTTATTTACAAATTTAAAGCAACAATGTTCAAAAGATTCATAATTTTTTATTATAAGTGAATGAGTTACAGTGAATGAGCAATGTTTTTTCTCCTTTCTTAATTACAATATCAATCACAATATATCTTCAAAATAACTTTAAGGCATTTTATTAATTTAAGGCATTTTTTTAGCCCTGTGCGAAAAAAGTCAGTCATTGTGTTTGACTTTAGCAAAAGGAAGTTTTTTACCATTAACAGTGCACTTAAACATTTGTACATCAAACATTTTATTAATTAAAAAAACATTATATATACACTACCGTTAAAAAGTTTGGGTTCTGTAAAATTGCTTGTGATGTTTTTGAAAGAAGTCTTATATGATCACAAAGCCTGCATTTACTTGATTAAAAATACAGCTGTATAAAACTGTAATATTGTGAAATATTACTACAATTTAAAAGTTATTTTTATTTTATTTATAAGCCTATTTTATTATATTTTAAAATATATTTATTCCTGTGAAGGCAAAACTGAATTTTTCAGCCATTACTCCAGTATTTAAAGGGGTCATATGATGCGATTTCATTTTTTCCTTTCTCTTTGGAGTGTTACAAGCTCTTGGTGCATAAAGAAGATCTGTAAAGTTGCAAAGACTAAAGTCTCAAATCCAAAGAGATATTCTTTATAAAAGTTAAGAGTCAGCCACACCCCCCTAAAACGGCTCGTTCGAACACGTGATCCTTCATTTTTTTTTAAAACAATGTAAAAATCTTTTAATGCATCCTTGCTGAACATTTCATATATATAAAATCTGTAAAAAATTGGTAACACTCATTTAGTCCCAATTTGAAATTTGTCAAATTATAAAAGTCCTTTTTGATATGTTGTAATTTTATCATGGAGATTTTGATATAAGCACTTACAGTATCCATGCACAAATGCAATGCTAAATTTCCAGTGCTTGTAATAAAGTAAACTAAACTTGAATGGATTCTGTAGACATACAAAGGAGGCAATAAAAACTCATAAAAATCTTCTGACCTCTGAATAAAAATTTCCCAAGCACAAGATTCTCAAAAACGTACCCTCAACTTATTTAAGACCAACCACCGACAGTAGGCTGAACAGAACAGAGACTGAGATTAGCTTTTCAGTTGTTGTAGCTCTGAGCTGTAGAGTGGGGGTTATTTTAAGGTTTTAAGAGACAAGGTGACAAAATGCCTGAACATAAACTCACACTTCCTGTGAGGCTGCTGCTCGGGATCACAGCCAAACCGACGGGAGAGTGTTTCCTCCTCTGAGCATTCAGGAACGCTCATGGGAGTGTGTGCCAATCACACGCCTTTTGACACAGAAGCAGGTTCCTCCTGATTCTCAGATCAGTTAAGCTATTTTCAAAAGTAAATATAAACTTTTTTTCAACTGTGCATGGGGACTTTCTCAGACCTGAGGTGAGTCCGCATTCACAAGTGGTTTAATAGTTGTATAGACTGTAGTGCTGGTTACTGCATTTTCAGATATGACCACCTGTGGTCAAATCAAAGTTCACTAAAGCTTAGTGATTTGAAGAAAACTTAGAGTGTTTTTTTTTTTCAATAGTCCAATTTTAACACTGAAATGAAACAAATCTTTGGCTTCCAGTGTCAGTAAAGAGCTGTGCACTGAGTTTTCTTGAGGGACATATCTCAACAGAGTGAGAATCGTCTGGAGTTGAGGTTCATCTTGGTGAGACCAAGATGTTTCAGAGGGGTGGAAAGAGTGAAGGTGGCTTTCATGGGGATGTCACACAGCAGGTCCGAGTCCTCCTCACACTCCTCCAGCTCATACGTGGCATCATCCAGCATCTCTTTGTGACGGTGACACACCTGCTCCACCTTCAGCCTGTGGATCTCCCCCCGTAAGCGAATCAACTGCCGTGCGAGACGGTTATCCTGCATCTGCATCTCCTTCTGAGGAGCGATGAGAAAGAGAGAGGGAGAACCATTTTATAGCTCACACATCAAGTCTTTGATAACCAGCAGTAATTATAAGATTAAATTGTTTGGAACAGAAGTCACACATGCAGGGAACTGAGCACACCTTTCTGTCAAACACCCACTCAAGTTTCTGCACCTGTGTGGCATTTAGGTGCAATATGCCAAGAGACGAGAGTCATGCCACCTGTGTTGTACTATGTATTAGTATTTATAGTAGGCTATATACAGTATATTATTTACATATATTTTATATCATTTAATAAAGATATACTGTTCAAAATTTGGGTTGGATAAGATTTTTTAAATGTTTTTGAAAGAAGTCTCTTATGCTCACTAGCGTTTCATTTATTTTACCAAAAATATCAAAAACAATATTTACATTTAAAATAACTGTTTTCTATTTGATATATTTAAAAATGTAATTTATTCCTGTAGTGGCAAAGATGAATTTTCAGCTGCTATTTCTCCAGTCTTCAGTTTCATATTTGTCTTAATATTTTTGTGGAAACCGTGATACATTTTTCAGGATTCTCTGATGAATAGAGAGTTCAAAAGAACAGCGTTTACTTGAAATAGAAATGATTTATAAGACAGACAGACAGACAGATAGATAGATAGATAGATAGATAGATAGATAGATAGATAGATAGATAGATAGAACACAATGACCATATCTAAAGTTTAAATAAAAATAAAACATAAAGCTTATTAATGCAATACCAGTTCGTTTCTGAGCCACTCTAACGCGTCGTCTATAGAATCAAAGCCGCAGATATTCTTATAAGGCATCCCATCTTTCCAGATGTCGGATAGCTGAGTGTCCTTCTCCACAGATCCTGGGCTGCTGACATTTGAACCGTGTGTGGCATCAGTCCACGGGCGAGCCTGCAGTCGCTCTTTCCATTCTAGGTACGACGGTCTGCGCGTTTGGAGTTTGAGTTTCTCTGTCAGGGCTTTTACATTATCCAGATCCTCCATATCGCCCTCAGAGCTCTCGTCTGCTCCCAACTCTCTGAACTCCATCACTGAGCTGCTTTTATTCCAGATAGGCGAGACTGTGAATGCTCAGACATATGCGCTGTGCCCGATCATGTGCAAGAGTGATTAATCTCAAGAGGTGTGCTGTGCTAAATGCTTATATAGACAGAAAAGTGACCGCCCATACTCTGCAGCCTAATGACAAACTATCAGTGTTTCTAGACAGTCTGAACTTGCATGTTGCGGCCAAACGCGACATTTCGTGTTCATGTGGAACTATTCAAGTGGTACAGGGTAACTGACACCCTTAATCTCACATGCGCTCAAAACCACCTTGAGAAGTTTCAGGACAGACAGTTTTTTTTATCAAACTATTTGTTATCACAAAGGCAACTAACCCAGGAATGACCAAGTAAACATTTAATGTATGTATATTGTGGCCCAAAACTCGTTCACACTGCGTCTAGCTCAGCGAGATCTCACCAATAATAATCCAAAGTAAATCTTTGTCAACTGTTTAACGACCGAGTGTCTCCATCTCCTGCTGATGTTGAGGAATTACAGTAAGAATCTAAAATCCAGCATTGGAATCAGAAAGATATTAATAATATATATTTATTCTGAAACAAACGCTAGGCATATTAGTAATTTTTTAAACCGGGACCAACCAGAGAGCCGCAAAGGGGGTCCTTGAAAAAGTAATAATTATAATAATAATAATAATAATATAGTTTGATAATCAAAGATTGTTTAATTCTAATGAAAGATAAAAAGCAAAAAAGAGAAACTTAATAGAAAGTACTGGTAGCCTACATCTTTTCCAGATATTAGATTTTTCAAATGGCTCTTCATACATTAAAAGGACTGCCTGTATGCCTATTTATTTAAAAGGAGGGCCCTCGCACGGATATCTATGTATTCCTATCGTGTTACCTGAATTACTTTATTTTATTTGGCTAAAAACCAGACTTCATTTTAAAATGAACTTATATTAACTTACATTACAACTTGTATGTAGCAGTCAACATCGTCGTTGTGCATTATCTGCACATAATATGCCTACATTATATGCACCAGTAATATCCAACTTGAATCTTTGGAACTGTTTTACGACAGAATGTCTCCATCTCCTGCTGATGTTGAGAAATTGCAGTGAAAATGTATTTAGCTAGGAATACAATCAGAATCAGTCAGGCATTAATGGTGTTATTCTAAAACGAACGGTAGGACTATAAATCGGTTTTCAAACTAGGGTCCAGGGACCCCCAGAGATCCGCAAGGGGGTGCTATGGGGGTCCTCGCAAAAGTTCAGAGAACATTGTGTAGATGTGAAAAAAGGATATTTATAAAAGTAATATTTAGAATATTATTAACATATAATAATCATCATAATAATAAAGTTTGATAATAAAAAGTGATTTAATTCTACTGAAGGTAAAAATCAATATATATATAGTCTAATAACTAAACGAAATAACAAACCAAATTTGGCTGTGAAAATACCCCCAAAAGATCATTTAAAGCTATAGTTTAAAGGCTTTATTATAGGTAATATTGTCGTTGGCAAAATTGAACAAAAACACACAATATTGTGTTTAAAATATAACACAATATTAACCTCTTATTTAGGCTACTTAACTGTTGTATAAAATCACATTTGCATTCGTGTTCTTCGTGATACTCGCTGCTCGTTTGATATCGCTTATCATATTATATAAATATGAGACAAAAACTCGTACAGGGGCATTTTTAGCACCAATATCTTGAATTGTAGGGCATAACTGCGTTTATGGAGTTGTTTTCCTGCATCATATTTGTCAACAGTCAACTGTATGGAAATATAAGATGATGTACAGGTCTGGGGGTGGGGCCAGTGCGTTAACTGCGTTAAAATATTTTAATCGCATTATTTTTTAACCCTAACCCTAACTAATTAATTAAATTTAAGTTAAGTTAGTTAAACTGACAGCCCTAATATATATATATATATATATATATATATATATACATACATAACATCAGAAATGGATATGATATAATATATGCTTTTTTGAATATTTTAGCAATTTAAAAATATTAAAAAAATATTTTTTACACGGCACCCCTGCTCTCGACAGACGGCACCCCGGTTGGGAAACACTGCCCTAGGCAACTGCCTATGTATGATACATCATCATAACGCATTAATTATGCATGGCGCGCACAGTTAAAATAGTTTTGCCATTTATGTGCTCTTAAAGTATCATTTCTACAAAAAAGGTGTAAAACGAAAATTATTATGGGCACAAGACAGGAAGCGACGCAAAGAAGAGGAGCAGAAAAAATATCAATATAGAATGCTGATATAGGCTTATGTTTTATTTATTTATTTTTTCTTTTTATTCGAAATATTTCCAAACGTGTTAACTAGTCTATATCTGGAAATCTCTCGATTCTCAAATATGTGTAAGTAAATGCGTTTTGCACCTTTATAGATTATGTTATTTGATCAATGGTGATGGATGAAGTAGACTAATAGTGTAATCTATTAACTACACATAAAAACCCGACTTTTTACTTAAGTACCAGATATGGGTGTCATGCCATAAAATATTTTTAATACGACTGACTTTATAGGTTATTCAATGTGAATTTAATAACAATATTGTAAGTTACTAATTAAAACACTTTCATATTACAGAGAGCAAAGAACATTTTCATTCAGTATAGCCAGAGACACTCTCAAAAACTCCCATTAAAATCACTGAAGCTGTTTACATTGTGAAATGAATCTCTTACGTACATCTTCACTTTGTTGTTTCTGATGAGAGCAAAACACCGCGTTTCAGCGATGACTCATCTGAACGTCTCTGATTATGCCCCTGGACTGCATTTCCCATCATCCATTGCACTGATTGCACACAGCTGTAACCAATCACACGCTCACCTGAAAGCTATTACACACACTATATAACACCCTCTCAGATCCTGCTCAAGTCGCCAAGTATTGTCTGCTTTATCGCTCTCCAAGTGATAGCACTTTACGGAGCCATTTCCTTGTCTTAGTTTCTAGTTCCTAGTCTCAGTTCCTAGTTCTAGTCTTAGTCTAGTCTCGTTGTGTTTCCTGATTTCCTGATTTCTGATTCTTGCCGGCGTATCTTGGATTTACCTTTTGCCTTGCTGTTTCGGACTGTGTTTGCCCCTCGCCTGGACTATTGCTCACGTTTACGGATTACCTCTCTTGTCAAGCCCTCTGGATAACGTTTGCTGTCGTCTGACTCAAGCCTGTTTTGGATTGCTCTTTTGTCTTGCCTGTGCCATACTTGTTTGCTGTTGTTCGACCCTGCCTGTGTTTTTTGACCATGTTTATTAATAAAAGCTTGCATATGGATCCACATGCCTCTCGTCCCGTCGGCTCCGTTACAGGTACACTGGAACTTTATGAGGCTAGACTAGTACAATTTAAATTGACTCGTCGATGTGTTTGGCCTTTTTTTTAAACTTGTGAAGCTTTAAAAATCATATGAATAGTTTGTGTCGACAACAATATACCCCCACAAATGTATCTGTGGCCTATTAAAATGTATGTAAGCCTAAGCTACCCTGGTGTGATTATTCTGTGTTGTCTTTAATTTCTTGCTCATTTTGTAGATAGCCATTGTTTCCCACACACCTTCCACACTCCCATCAGTAAGGATCAAGTACCCCTTATCTACACCATATTACAAATTTTTTCCCCTTATATTTTACAGGTTATTATAACATTAAAATCACAAAGCAACATCAAAATCTTTCCACATACCCCTGGTTGGGAATCAATGATATGTCACTGCATGGACCAAAAAAAAAAAAAAAAACTTTTCTCACATATAATCTCAAAATGTATTCCTTTATGTTCCACAGAAAAAGAATATAAGAAAGTTTCACTTTTTGAAATAAGTTACAAAAAATGAAAATTTTCACAATATTCAAATTTTTTGAGATGCACCTGTATATATCAATGTGACCCAGGACCACAAACCCAGTCATAAGGGTCAATTTTTTTTAAAATTGAGATTTATACATCTATTCTAATATTTTGAGATACTGGATTTTTGACTTTCATAAGCTGTAAGCTCTAATAATGAAAATTAAAACAACATTTAAAAAAAAAATGTTTTACCTTGTGTAATGAATCTAGAATATAAGAAAGTTTCACTTTTTGAAATAAGTTACAAAAAAT